CGCTTGAAAAAGAATTTTGTCAGCCACTTCTTCATGAAGCTATTTGGACTAAACCAAAAGATAGAGGTATTAATGTTGCAGTTAACCCATTTCTTAAGTTTACTTTGGATATATGGGACAAGTACCGGTATATATTGGCCCCAGATATTTCTCCTGTTTCAGCTTTTTTGGGACAAAATTGGTTTGCACCTGGAAGGAAAATTGATACATATACAAATTGGAGAGAGAAAGGACTTTTTAGGCTAAGCGATATTACACATCAAGGAAAACTTTGGTCTAAGGAACAGTTGGAGTTAAAATGTCAAATGGTTATACCATGGGTTCAATATCAACAACTCCATTTTATGTCCACAGCAAATTACTTAAAAACTGGATTAGATAGGCCTTTGCCTGGCTTTGAAATATTGATAAAACAGGGTAGATATGGAGAAAAGGGAACTATGAAACTTATATATTTTTTGCTTAATCAAAAACAATGGTCCTCTGCTACAACACAGCAAACTGCTTGGCAATCTGATTGTCAAACACAGTTTACAGAAGATAAATGGTTAAAAATATGGTCTTTACCTGTATATACCACAAGATCCTTAAATATCAAACTCCAAAATTATAAGGTTTTTTCATGGTGGTATCTTATACCTCAAAGACTTTACTATAGTCATTCTATTGTTTCACCTCAATGTTGGAAATGTTCAAATGATATTGGATCATACATACATTGCTGGTGGACATGCCCAAAAGTGCAAGTATTCTGGAAAACGGTGTTGCCAATCATAGAAAAAATAACTGGTATAAGGATTCCAAACTCTCCGGAGTCTCCTTTATTAAATTGTTGGAGTGATTCATTTATGACTAATCAGAAAATAGAAATAGTGGCTCTGTTATTGCTGGCAGCAAAAACCTTACTTGCCCAATTTTGGAAATCTGTTAAAATTCCAACACTGAGACTTTGGTTTGATAAAATTTGGGATATAGTAGTTAATGATAAAATTGCTATGCAACTGTTGATTGTGGATGGTTGTGTTAAACAGAATAATTTTTTTTTGAAAAATGGTTTTCCTTTTTTCAATATATAGAAACTGAAGGGAGTCTATTTCATGTTCTTCCTATTAAATATAATAAGTTTGCATTGTATTAGTTTTAAATGTGCTATATACACCTACAAGAATTGTTATATTATGATTGATGTTCTAGATTTATATGGTTTTGTACGTTTATGATTAATTATTTGCTATTTGTTTAAAGTTAAGTTATTAAGTTACATTGTATGATTGTGGAGTTATAAATGTTATAAAAATTTATAAAAAATAGACTTTAAAAAAGGGGAAAAAAGAAATAGAACATGCAACATCCAGCACAGGCCCCCCTCAGTGGTCCAGAGAAGCCAAGGCCATTCCCAGCCATTGAGGTACCCAGTCTTAACAAAAAATGACAACTTGTGATGAGCACAAATACAGGCTGCAAAACGTATCCAATGTCAACAAATTAGCAGGCCTCCTTTGAGCTTCAGGCCCTGCTTCTTCCAATTCACCCTGATCCTGTATCAGCAAGCAGCTATCAAGATGTCTCCTGTTATCCCTAATTATGAACTCCTTCAGATAATCAACAGAATCCTACAAAGCAGGAAACCTGCAAAGACTTGGGGGGGGGGGGGTTCACGTTATTTCCCCCTGTATCTCCTTTCCCACAGTATTTCCTCTCTCTCTCCTCCAGGCAGCCCCATATTTTCACTGCTTTTCCTTCCATCTTTCCTACTCATCAACCAACCTTACAGTATTCAGCTTTATTTATTGTTTACTTCATTTATACTCCACTTTTCTACCTTTTATACCCATTGGGAACTCAAAACAGCTCACACAATTCTCCTCTCTACCATTTTATCTCCTTAACAACTCTACAGAGTATGTCAGTCTAAGAGAGAGTGATTAGCCCAGGGTCACACAACAAGTTCCCATGGCAGAGTGGGGATTTGAATCTGGGTCTCCCAGATTCTAGTCTGATATTCTAACCACTCCATCATACTGGCTTTCTGCTTTCCCTCCTTCCCTCCCCCCGCAGCCTTCCCCTGGCAAAAGTCTGGCCAAATTACAAAAGTTGTGTGGTAGCAAGTTGATCAGGTGAGTTGTACGGTAGCCAAGTTGTGCAAATTGCATGGAGTAAGGGGGGGGGGAGAGTTAGGGGAAATGACATCATGACAACAGCACAGCGTCCCTTCTGGTGGGAAAACAAAAATCATTCCATTACGTTGGCATGAGTCCCTACACTCCACCCAAAACTTTATGGTAAACCCATTGGTATGATTACTTCCCCCCCCCACTTCCCCCCTACCACCCTACTGTGTGGTGGTGTGGCCGGTGGGCAAGAAGTCTCCCACCACAGCAGGAAACTTGGTAAGCCTGATGTGGAGACTTCTCTTGGGCCCAGGTAAATTTTGTGGCATCAACTCATAGCCGCTGCCACAACTTGGTGTTGAGCAAATTGGAGGGTAACAAGATACCTGGGGGTTGCTGCTGGGCCTCTCTGAATCAGTCCTCCCTCCAGAGCAGAAGGGAGGGGAGCAGGGGTGGACTGGGATTCCAATATAGTCCTCGGTCATATTTAGGACAGCCCTCGTTTATATTTAGGATGGTCTTTTGTGATTTATCTGGCATCATTCATCCTGTCTTAACCACTTCTGAGTTCTATCAATTTCAAAGGAGGAGATTTAAATATGAGCCCAAATTTCTTCTACGAACACCAATGGGGCTCAGCAGTGCTTAAACACTGGCTGGACTGCACCCATTCCTCTCCTGTTTGTTTTCCTTTCACCCAAGCCTTTTTTTGTTTTCATTTGTTTAAGAGGGATATAAAGGTAAAGGTTCCCTTGCTCGAAAGCCAGTCGAATCCGACTCTAGGGTTGCGGTGCTCATCTCCGTTTCAAAGCCAAAGAGCCAGCGCTGTCCGAAGAAGTTTCCGTGGTCATGTGGCCGGCATGACTAAACGCCAAGGCGCACGGAACGCTGTTACTTCCCACCGAAGTAGTACCTATTTATCTACTTGCAATGTCTTGCTTTCAAACTGCTAGGTTGGCAGGAGCTGGAACTAGAGACGGGAGCTCACTCCGTCATGCGGCACACTCGGGTCTCAAACTGCTGAACTACCGACCTTCCACGGCCTGCAGTTCAGCGTCTTGAGCCACCGCAGCTCCCTAAGAGGGATGAGAAAGTGCTAAAAAGAAGAACCGAATTACTGTTCTCTGAACGCATGAAACTGTCTCATGAGGCTATTATTCCATCTACCCCAGTGTGATGACAGCAGAGATTCTTGATTCTTACTACCTGAGAGCCTTTAACTGGGATCTCCTGCTTGCAAAAAAGCCCATGGTCCACCATCGAGCAATGGGCCTTGTCTGTTTAGTCTGCCTTCCTTTTTTTAACCTTAATATATCCAAACAATACTCAAATAACGGTCCTTTAGGGACAGAGACAAATGCTGACGGAATTGCTTTAAGTCACCCTGAGCTTAGAGGACATGAAGGAACATAGATATAGGGTTGGGTCCAAAAGGTAGGCTTCCACGATCAGAAGGCAGACTTAGCTCACAAAAAGGGCTATTTTATCTCTCAGCCTAGAACGCTGCATGAAAAACCTGAAACAGACTCCTAAGCTGCTGATCTGCCTGCGCAAGCACAAGAGCGAGCATGGTGCGACAATCTGAGTGTCAGACTATGGCTGGAGAGAAACTGCTTCAAAGTCCCACTCCGCCACGAAGCCCCCTGAATGATCCTGGGCTGCTCACTCACTCGGAGCCTGTCCTACCTCACAGGGCTGTGTCCCAGGATGAAGGAGGAAGGGGAAATGTGGGGGGGAAAGGCAAGCTGATCTAATAACCTAAGTAATGTGTGGACATTTGAGCAAGTCTTTGCAGAACTGTCAAGCCACTGGTTACTTTTTCTTCCTATCGCACTTCTTCAAATCTAACAAGTCATTTACTCTTCCTACGGTGTGGCTAAACAAAACTGGGCATACAGGGCAACTGCATGTTTAGAACAAATAATTTTACGTACTATCCAAGTAGAAATGAACTGCAGAAATAATAGACAAGTTTAAAATCCTGTAACTCTTGAACTAAGTGCAAGTTCAAAACGCTTCTGCAAACAACGCCCGGTTTAATCTTAGCACTGGTTTGTAATCCCCCACACATGAAACCACACCTGTCTGAGTTATTTAGGTTGGGTCAGATTTAGGCCTCCAGGCAACAGAAACTTTACAGAAGTGGGTTGTTGTCTTCCCTCTAGCCTTCCATGAATAACAAATGAGTCTAATCAAGATGAGTAGCCATGTTAGTCTGTCTGTAGAAGAGAGCAAGAGTCCAAGTAGCACCCTAAAGACTAACCAAATTTGTGACAGGGTAGGAGCTTTTGTGAGTCATTGCTCACTTCTTCGAAGTCTGTTGGCATAAATACCAGTGGGCCAGCTGGTAAAAACCTCTGTAAGCTCATAATACTTCTTATTTGCAAGTGTGAAAAAATTAATGGTTGAGGATATCTTCAAACACAAAGTTTATTGTGTGAGGCACTTTACAAAGGCTTGGGTGCAATCCAGCCCTTTGGAAGACCCACTGATTCCTATGAAGGACTTGAGCACAAGCATAAATCTTTCCCACTAAGACCAGTGAGAAGGGACACAGGGATTGCATCCGGTATGTGTTACAGGAAACCATTTCCTTCTGAAAAACGAAAAAGCAGTACCGTTTGGGTTTTTGGTTTTTTTTGCATAGGCTTACCTTTTGTCTAAAGCTCGAAGAACCTTCGCAAAAACTTCTAGTTCACAAAATTCGCTACCCAACTGGCATAGTCGTCCTTGTTGGTAAAGCTGGGAGAAGAAAAGACAACTGTGAATGCTGCTAAATGATGGAAATGTAAACATTAAGACATGTACTCAGTCCAGTGGTTACCAAGTTGCTCCTCTGCTGAACTGGGTCACACAAATATTGATTCTTACGTAGAACCAGCCATCTGGTACACACCTTGTGACTGTCGCTTAATCAAGGAACGTACACCACTTGGTATAATGCACTGAAGTCGCTAGGCTAGGAAGACAGTGACTTTCCAAGCTCTGCATGGAGAAATAAAAACTGTACAGACTCTTGTGTCATTCATCTGTCTACCTTGTTCAAGGGACTTTAACAGCATACGGAGACACAGGAGAAGGTGCCAAAACTAATCTCCCAAACTATGCCATATCTCTGTCTTCTGCTCCAACACTTTTCTCCATTTCTGGTTCCAGCCAGAAATGGAGCAATGCACTGCAGTGAGGTATGCCATGCGGGCGGGTTTTTCCCCCCCCCCACACTCCCACACTCCTCTCTATTGTTCAAGATAGACCCCTCTATTTTTAATGGGGTGGACACATGAAAAGCAGCATGCTTATACCTCTGTTATACCTAATCTAGCTCCAAGGCGGTCACAGAGGCCCAAATGCCCAAGTGCCTAGAGCTCTAAGAATGAGCCATTTGAAATATTATTTTAGGACTCTGCACAGCTGGTACCTAAAAATGCTATGTTGGCATAAAGGGAGTTGAGATATTTGCCGGTCCTGCTTTGAACAATAACCTGGTAAAATTTCAAGACCGCCATCATTCCAAAACAGAACAGCATTCATAGGTATTCTAAAGTGGGCTTATTTGAAACATTTCAGCCTGCCCTTTTACCTCATGGACCAACAAGAGCCAAAAATAATACCAACTCATTCCAAGGTTGTAACAAATGAAATATCAGCCACTGCCAGAAAGTATACCACAGCACAACGAACCGGAGGCCCTCTTAGACTGTTTCCAAAAATTCAAATGAGTGGGTGCCTTCCTGGCACATTCCAGAAGGTCGCTGCCCACTGTGGGGGGCCATCGAGAAAAACCCGTGTTTTCTACACATGCAAAGCATCCCAAGAAAACAGGAACCTGTGACCCACCCAAGAGTCCTGACTCATGTGACCCACTGCTGTAGAAACACTAAAAAATCAATCTTAATATACCTGTTTAATGCAACCCATCACATCCTAGTATTATCACCCGAAATCCCAAAAGAAAAGTGGCTTCTCCCAGCCAAGAATTATTTCTTTGGTGCCAGCCCAGACAGTGAGGAGTCTGGGAGTGACACTGGATGCCTCTCTCTCCATGGAGGCCCAGGTTGCTGCAGTTGCCAGATCTGCATTTTTCCATCTTAAGGCAGATCAGGCACGTGCTCCGCCAACTGCATTGGCTGCCAGTTGAGTACCGGATTTGCTTCAAGGTGTTGGTTTCGACCTTCAAAGCCTTATACGGCCTGGGACCAACATATGTAAGGGACCGCCTCTTCCCATATACGCCTCGAAGAGCGTTGCGCTCGGAAGATCAACACCTCCTGGTGGTCCCTGTCCCGAAGGACGTCCATCTTGCCTCAACCAGGGCCAGGGCTTTCTCTGTCCTGGCCCCAGTCTGGTGGAACATGCTCCCTATTGAGAGCAGGGCTCTGCGGGATCTCCTTCAATTCCGCACGGCCTGCAAGATGGAGCTCTTCCGTCAGGCCTTGGCTTGAGGCGGGGTTTTTTTTTTGCCCATTTATGGCCTCCCTGAGGTTGTTGTCACCCGTCCTTCACCTGCCTACTGACCACCAACAACTGGCCTTTAACTCACTGCACCATCGGGCCAGAACTTTATAGTCATCTGACACTGTTCCAAGGAGCACCCATTGTTTTAATTGTTACAATGTTTTATTATGTTTTAATGTTTAATGTTTTAAACTGAAATTGTATTTATTCTAATGATGTTACCCGCCCTGAGCCCTCCTGCGGGATGAGTGGGATATAAATGCAAATAATAAATAAAAATATCCCACCTCAAATTTTTCTGAGAGCTATATGAAACTGGGGTGTTGAGCACAGATTTTGCATGCATACAACCATTCTGTTGTTTCATCAATATTTTGCTAGATCTGTTTTAGTTTGGCAAGTCTCTAAAATTGGTAGGAAACTAAGGACACAATATGAACATCGTGGCAAAGGAAGAGGGATAAGATGAGGGATGGGTTGTTTGCTACCAGTATTTCCACTCTACATTTGGGGCCTGATCATCTGTCTACATTGCAAGTTCTGCAGAGTTAAAATACATATAGATTGGGAGGGGGGCATGAACCAACATGGGGTGGTTGTGGTATATGATTGGGAAATTGTCCTCCCTGTCCCAACCATTCCTCCTCCCCTTCCAGGATAACTCTTTGGGGGATTCAGCAGGCCAATTTCACCATTTTCCTTCTTTTCTCCTCTTCGTATACCCACGTCACTGTATGCTTCTAGAGCATGCACAGCCTCAGCTGCAGGGGGAAGGCAATTTAGACATATGTATATATCTCTATCTATCTATCTATCTATCTATCTAGCTGCGGTGGCTCAAGTGGTTAAGATGCTGAACTGCAGGCTGTGGAAGGTCAGTAGTTCAGCAGTTCAAGACCCGGGTGTCACATGATGGAGTGATGCTCCCGTCTCTAGTTCCAGCTCCTGCCAACCTGGGTACCACTTCAGTGGGATGGTAACAGCGTTCCGTGCGCTTTGGTGTTTAGTCATGCCGGCCACGTGACCACGGAAACGTCTTTGGACAGCGCTGGCTCTTCGGCTTTGAAACGGAGATGAGCACCGCAACCCTAGAGTCGGATTCGACTGGCCTTTACCTTTATATATCCACAGTAATTTTCCTGGATACTTGGGGTAATCCTCCCAATATTCAGAAACTCCTACCTTGCCTACATTTCACTGCCCTGCAGACAGAAACACAACCAATCAAATCCACTATCTGAGGTAATGCCAGTCACACTACTCAAATCTTGTCAGACCTGAACTGTACTATGAAAGCGGGGAACAAGTCACTCACTGCCTATTTGTGAAGTGAGAGAATGGCCCCAAGCCACAGAAGTTCCTCTCCTCACCCATCATATCAGAACTCCATCAAGAGGACAGGTAGCAGGGCAAGAAGAAGGAAACACAGATTTGTTCAACGTGAAACAGATTTGTAGAATGCCACGAGATGTGGAAATTGGCCACTAGGTCATATTAATACAATGCAAGAGGCGCTCTGCTGAATCGGACTAGTGGCCTGTTTAGTCCAGCATTCTGTTTCGCACGGGGCGCAGAGGCCTTTCCCTGCTGATACCTTCTGGCTCTGGTATTCAGAGGATGTAGCAGTTCCCTTTGAATCTGTCTTTTATTTTACAAAATGGATGGGTGTACCAATGGCTTTTTGCCACAGTGACTATGTGGAACCTCTCTGTGACTACCAGATGCAAGAAAAGGGGACCTCCTCTCTATCCTGTTTGGAGTGTTTCAGGGTACCCTGTTTGCCACTACTGGGAAGAGAATGCTGGCCAGCTGGAACTTTGATTTAAACCTGTTAGGCAATTTTTATATTATGAAAATTGTTAAAGCACACTGAAAACTACAACACCTCTCCCTTTGTACAAAACACACATTTTCCACAAAAGATACTTCTTCCTTAATAGAGAAAAGGGGGTAAAGGGGACAAGACCATGAATTTCTTTTTTAAAAAATAGCTTATTGGAGTGTATACGCTTTGCTCTTTGTAACACTCATGCAAGCAGTTTGGCTTTAAAACAGCTTTGTTATTTTCAACTTGGCATAAAAAGTGCAACTCCTCCACTAACTTCTCTGAGTATGAGCCAACAACGTTTGTTTACTACATTCACTGTTTGCACAATTTGCCCGTTTAGTGGAAAATCAAGTCACAAGAGGTACTGTCAAGAGTATGCGTGTCATGCTGTAAGCAGGCAAATAGTATTTTTAAATGCACGCCACAGAAAACATTTTTTTTATCTTACAGTTAATGGCTCATTTCCTCACCATGGTATGCAAGAACCAACCAACTCAAAGAATCAGGTGGGGAAGTTTTAACAAGCTAGTAGATAGTTCTCCCCCTTTCATGCTACCGACTTGCCACATGTGAGAAATGGGCTCTGCCTCAAAAAAAACCCTGTACCACGATAAACGTGTTAGACTTTTAAGATGCTACTTTAGATTCCTTTGTTGTTTGGGCTGCCACAGATGAACAGTGTTACCCCTCTGAGATTTCATTCATAGGTATAGAGAGCTGAGCTAGTACTTTCGATCTTTAGGAGGCAGCTGGAGATAGTTTTGTTTAGGACTGCATTGTGTTAAGTTTAGTAGCAGTCCAAAACAATTTTAAATTTTCCATTTATATTTTTAATGTATTTTACTCGATGTGCTTTATCTATGTCTGTGAGCTCAGTAAGGAAGACAGACCGCTGATAAATGTTTTAAATAAATAAATAAATAGTTTTGTGGGCTAATGCTTTTGGGAAAGATGGCTGCATGATAATTTTTAATCTTTAGGCTGAGAAACCTCATAGTATTCTATTTAGCATTACACAAACTGTGTTATAAACCCTTAAGGATTTCAGCATCACGACAAGGGTGGAAAAAAGCATATACTTTTCTAAATGTCTTCATTGCTCGTTTAAATAGCCACAAGCAGCATTTATTTAGTAATTATACACTGAAAGTGTTCATAAAGTGTTCCACCATCTAGTTAAAAGTCTCACAGAAATGGCAACCTTTGGCCCAGACTGCCAACCAGTGCCATCTTTCCCTGCCCCCTTCCATAGGTGAATTCCCACAAGAAGAGCATTGCATTCAAGGAAAATTTGAGAACTTGTTTACTTCGAGGTGCTGCAGTTTGTTTTGTTTTTTTAAATCTTAACAGGCTTCCACAAGAAAAGGAATGACAAGAATAAGCGTATCTAATCGAAGCTTGGCATCTCTCTGTTTTAGTGGTACTTCCTAGAATGGAGAGAGAGGCATGATCCAACTGAAGCGATGCATTTTTCAGGATCATTTAAGATCAGTGGATATTCACTGGCTGCAGACCCACACGCGGCTCCTTGACATGCTACTCACGGCTGTTCTCCAACGCAGCACCCTTTCCTCGTCCCAGGAAAGGGAGCAAGTTGGTAGGGTTTGTGGTTGGAAGGTGGTTTCCAATTTAAAACAGCCACAGCTAGAAGGACTGGAGGATGAGTAAACGGTGGGCTTCATTCCAAAGGTGGCGGCAAAGGGCCTGCCCTCTCCAACACCCACCCCTCCTTCTCTGCAGCGTGTGTACTCTCACCTCAGCACTGGGGCAACTGCTGGGAGAGAAGAAGAAGAGATTGGATTTATCCCCCGCCCTTCACTACCCAAAGGAGTCTCAGAGCGGCTTACAAATTCCTCTCCCTTCCCCTCCCCACAACAGACACCCTGTGAGGTAGGCGGGGCTGAGAGAGCTCTGACAGAAACTGCCCTTAAGAGAACAGCTCTGAGAGATATGTGGCTGACCCAAGGTCACACCAGCAGCTGTATGTGAAGGAGTGGGGAATCAAACCCGGTTCTCCCAGATTAGAGTCCACGCACTTAACCACTACACCAAACTGGCTTTTGGGGAGGACGGGAAGCTGATTACAGAAGTAGTAAAACTAACAAAGCAGCGATCCAAGAAAAAAAGCAAGCTGGCCACAGTGGGGTGGTTAATTTTACTCCCCTTTCTCAATAGCCAGATTGTCCTCCTACAGACATCTTGGCATTCTCTCTTGCTCTCATCTGAGCGACTGTGCCTCACGAGCGCACAAGAAGGTAAAGATGGAAGCCCTTCTCTTCATTCCTGGTAACACAAGGGCTGGCAGGGGTGGGCAGAGACAACCCTACATGTTCAGAGGCACTCCAGTCATTTAAAAAGGTAAAGGTTCCCTTGCTCGAAAGCCAGTCGACTCCGGCTCTAGGGTTGCGGTGCTCATCTCCGTTTCAAAGCCAAAGAGCCAGCGCTGTCTGAAGACATTTCCGTGGTCATGTGGCCGGCATGACTAAACACCAAGGCGCACGGAATGCTGTTACCTTCACACCAAAGTGGTACCTATTTATCTACTTGCAATTTCTTGCTTTCGAACTGCTAGGTTGGCAGGAGCTGGAACTAGAGATGGGAGCTCACTCCATCATGCGGCACCCGGGTCTCAAACTGCTGAACTACTGACCTTCCACAGCCTGCAGTTCAGCGTCTTAACCACTTGAGCCACCGCAGCTCACTTACATACAGTATTAATAGTCACGTCTTATTATGTGTATGTTTAGTAGGACACTGTACAAGCCATGCAATAATTATGTGGCTCTTTTGGTTGCCAGTAATTGCAAATGTGCCATGACTTGGATGGCCCAGGCTAGCCCAATCTCATCAGATTTCAGAAACTAAGCAGGGTCCGCCTGGGTGAGGACTTAGATGGGGAAACCACCAAGGAAGTTCAGGGTCACTGCACAGAGACAGGCAATGGCAAACCAAATCACCTGGTTGTCTCTGGGGGTTGCCGGTACGTCGGCTACAACTTGACAGCACTTTACCCAT